ATTCTTTCTGCAAGGCGTCATAATTGCAAGTCTGTGGGAGGTATTAGGAAAATTGTTGCCAGATGTCAAAAAATACTTCGCATCCACTTTTAATGGCTACATATTATTGGTCAACATTAAAATTCTTTTAATGCCCATCAATCAAATGCATATGTTAAAATCTAAAATGGTATGAAAAATTGTGTAGTTATCAAAAACACGCGGAAAGAACGGTTCAAGACTAATGAAACCAAAGACTTTCTCTGAGCCACAGGTTTTCCCGACTAAATGAACATTCAACATTTCTTATCTTGAGCAAGGTGAAACAGAACCAAGAGAATATTGAAATTATAAAACATTTTCATCCACGAAATCCCGGCTTGCAGGAAAAGGCAGAAGACATATAAATCAGTGACAAGCTAATTCACTTGGTGGGGTTTGTCTTATGGCGGAAATACAAAGCCACTCATCCATTATCACGCCAACCAATATGTAAATATCACAGAAAAAGAAAAGAAAACAAATAATTAAACATCCCATTTTGGCACATTCAATTTTGGCTTCGCTGTTGAAAGCTGTTTGCTGCTACTGTCTGAGAATTCATTTCAATAATTTAGAACAAAGATGCGAATATTTTTTTTTTAACAATTTCAGTTGATTCTGTAGTATTCATTTTATTTCATATTCAAGCACTTGGAACAAAATTTACTAAAGCAAACTATTATTCAGACAAGTTTGTGGTTTGAATGACACTAACCTAGATCCTCCTAAACAAGATTTTGAGTTCATCTTTTGTAGTTGGACAAAATGGTTGAAAAGAGAGACTCTTTTTAAAAGTGGTCAATTAAAGTCTCAGTGAAAATTAATTATTTAACGGATACTTTATGTTAATAACAGTTATAAAATAAAAAGATTATTCTAATTTATGTCTCTATCAATGCAATAAATTTAAAGCGTTTATACAATATTGATCTATATGCAGGCCTATGGACAAGGCCAAAGGAACCCTTCCTTTAGGCCTCCTTCACAAAAATATTTTATAATAATATTTATATAATTTTTTAAAAATTTTATAACTTAAAAATTACTTTTTACATTTTTAAAAATTAACTTTAAAATGTCTATTTCTAAAAGATATATAAATATAAATATTTTTTTTAAGACTTATCTCTAAAATATTTTTATTTTTTATAAAAAATATTACTATTAATTTAAAAAAGACTTTACTTTAAAATTTATTTAGATCTAATAATATATTGAGCCGGTTTTCTATAGGCAGTTAAGCACACAAAGTCACATATTGGGACAAGGTTCCTCCAAGCAGAACCTTCGATTGAATTAAATGATAACTATTTTACGAATGTCAACATGATTGCATTGCATAGCCTCCAAATTTTCACTGAACAAGCTGAGGCTCATACGTTTTAAGTTAGATAAGAATGAAAGAGGTGGAAACACGTAAGCAAGGGTCAAACAGAACAGACTAGTTTTGATTTTTTGCACTTTTTCCTCTTTTTAATTAGAGCCCACCTATGTTGTCGACTTCAACTCCCCAACCCGAGTTCCTTATTATAAATACACGCAAACAACCTTGAGCAATTCCTACATATTCAAAACATGGCTCTAACACTTCGTTCTTCAATTTCTTTTATTATTCAGAAAGAAACCAAAGTCCTTAAAACTTCTGATGATGTCCCTGCGACAGTTAGTTTTGCAAAATTTAGGCCATCGTTCCGTCTTGTGGCTAAAAATTCCATGCAAGAAGCTCATCACACGCACGAGAACCGCTTCAACTCTGAAGCAAGGAGAAACGATAAATGGGAGAAGGTGCATGCCCCATCTGTTGCGCATAACCACGATCATTCGAAGAGAGTACCTGTGTTTGTGATGCTGCCACTAGACACCGTAACTATGGGAGGAAGCTTGAATAAGCCAAGAGCAATGAACGCAAGTTTGATGGCCTTGAAGAGTGCAGGAGTTGAAGGGGTAATGGTGGATGCTTGGTGGGGTTTGGTGGAAAAAGATGGGCCTTTGAAATACAACTGGGAAGCCTATGCAGAGCTTGTGCAGATGGTACAAATGCATGGTTTGAAGCTTCAAGTTGTGATGTCTTTCCATCAGTGTGGGGGGAATGTTGGGGACAATTGCAGGTATGAGAGTACTTTTACGTTGCTTCTGAAAGTTCTTTCTCTTTTTTATTTGCCCGTTGTTGGAAATTGATGTTTTGAAACCAAGCAAGCGCGTAATCCCTTTTGAATTGTTTCATGTTATGGAGAAAGTAAAAACATATTGAATAAAAGGAAGCGCTACTGTTACATTCTCTAAAATGGTAGATGATATGAACTAATAGATTTTGTTAGAAGGGCTACGGCCATGTGAAGAACATTCTGTTGCAATTGTCTTTATGTTGCATTTTTATTTTGCAGCATTCCTCTACCACCGTGGGTGCTGGAAGAAATCAGCAAGAACCCTGACCTGGTTTACACAGACAGATCAGGGAGGAGGAATCCGGAATACATCTCGTTGGGCTGTGATTCAATTCCTGTTCTAAGAGGAAGGACTCCCCTCCAAGTGTACGCTGACTACATGAGAAGCTTTCATGACAGATTCAAAGACTACTTGGGCAGTGTTATCGTGGTACGTAATTCAGCAACTAGTGCTACAAACTATTATACATGGACACAGCCGGCATATAATACAGAAACGGCAATATAATAAAATTATAAAATTGTGTTTATATTCTGAAGTATTTGTGGCTGATACGAATATTCAATACCTTTATCAAAAAAATAAAAATAAAAATAAAATCCAATACCACTGTGGTCCATTCCCTTAAATGCGTGTTACATGCTAAAAGTTTGGAATCAGGGAACAAACAAACACCAATAGAAGTTCAGTTGTAATTTTGATCTAACAGAGCAGTGAACATTATCTTATGCATGGCAACCGAACAAACTAAAAGACATCTGGGGCCTATCCAGAGTCCAGATGGTGTACTAATCAAACTAAGGTATCAATTAAAGGCATTTTATATAAAGAGAAATACTTGTAACATACTTTTAATTTTAATTGAAATTTATTGAAAATAAAAAAATTATATAGATAAGTAAATAATTGAAAATAATAGTGTATTACAAGGAATGTGTTAATAGCATAATTTTAATTGAAAATTATTGAAAATAACAAAATAATGTAAATAACAAAATAATTGAAATAATAAAAAGGATTTACCACTTCTCTTATATAAAATAAAGGCTTTGGTTAATAGGATTTGGAACTTGATGCTTGATACATTGTCAATTTCACAACTTTTTTACCCATTGAACGAAAATTGAAACAATAAGATCAATACTTGTGCAGGAAATACAAGTGGGGATGGGTCCTTGTGGAGAGCTAAGATATCCATCTTATCCAGAAACCAATGGAACCTGGAGGTTTCCCGGAATCGGAGAATTCCAATGTTATGACAAGGTATAAAAACGTTAATTTAAATCGTTTTTGTCAATTAATACAAAAGTGGAGAATTTCAATGTTATGACAAGGTATAAAAACATCCATTTAAATCATTTTTGTAAATACAAAAGCGTGATTGTATTGCCGATGTTTCATAACCATTGGTCCTTATTGACTTATCACTAGCTCGGGGATAACAAGGATATCTCAAAAGATAGATAATTTTTCAAAATATCTATGTACTAAAATGACTTGTTTGTCATGCAGTACATGAAAGCGTCATTGGCAGCAGCAGGCGCAGCCATTGGAAAGAAAGAATGGGGAGGAAGTGGACCACATGACTCAGGCCAGTACAATCAGTTTCCTGAGGATACAGGATTTTTCAGAAGGGAAGGGACATGGAACTCTGAATATGGACGGTTCTTTCTGGAATGGTACTCGGGTAAATTGCTGGAACACGGTGAGAGGATCCTCGTATCTGCCAAAGGAATATTCCAAACATCTGGGGTGAAACTATCAGGGAAGGTTGCTGGAATCCATTGGCATTACAGAGCAAGGTCTCATGCAGCTGAACTAACTGCTGGCTACTATAACACACGACATAATGATGGATATTTGCCTATAGCCAGAATGCTGGCAAAACATGGAGTTGTCTTCAATTTCACTTGCATGGAAATGAAAGACAGAGAGCAACCTGACTTTGCTAACTGCTCACCTGAGGGGTTAGTTCACCAGGTAAAGATGGCAACAGCAACAGCTAGAGTGGAACTTGCTGGAGAAAATGCATTGGAGAGATATGATGCAAATGCATATGCTCAAGTTTTATCAACAAGTAAGTCGGACTCGGGAAGTGGATTGGCCGCATTCACATATCTTAGAATGAACAAGAGGTTGTTTGAAGGTGATAACTGGCGGCACCTAGTAGATTTCGTAAGAAGCATGTCTGAAGGTGGTCGGAGAGTTAGACTTCCAGCGTCTGATTCCCATGGGAGTGATCTCTATGTTGGGCACATCAAAGGAACCCGGGAGAAGCACACACAAGAGGCTGCTCTTGTGTAAACGTATACATTAGCAAGCTCAGGCATCTTGGTGTATAGTTAAAAGCATCGTAAGGTATTTTTTATAGAAAAAGAGAAGCTACAGAAAAAAAGGAGAAACGAGATAGAATTATGGTCAACACACAGAACACTGGCATATGCCATGCCAACACCTGAGATGATCCACAAAATATTATTTTATTTCATGCTGTATATAGCTCCAACTACAATGGAGAAAAATACTTTATCTGCTGACGTTACAAACCAAATAATACTGATATTGGTCTCTTTTCAGCATTTGCCACTTCTAATTTGTTTAGTTAATCCCCAGAAACACATCTACACAAAATCACTAATATCATTTGTTTGTATTATTCCGTAACATCTGCATAATGTAAGGAACATAAAAGTATCCAAACATAAAAATATCCCAGTAGGCAATATTATTTTAACATCATTGTCGTCTTTTAAGATTCAATGCCAGACAATATTTGCTACAACAAAGATAACATTATGCGAAGAAGAAACCAGTAAAAATAACGAGAGTTTAACATAGAGGGAAAACCTTTTTGTGGCTATTCATGAAACAATTCATACAACAAATGACAAGGTAAAGTTGTAGAATGAAGCCCTAGTTAGAAAATTGGCAGGGGAAAAGGGTACAGGGTGAGTTAGAAAGAAACATACAGTGTTAAAGAGATTAAATTGAAAGCGAGAGTTCAAGAATGGTCGGAGTCGGGAGGGTTTCCGCGACGGAGATCTTGGATTAGGTGATGGAGTTCTTTGCGAGAGGACTCTCTGCCGAACATGAAGCCATACCTAGGAGAGGAGGAGCAGAGGAAGGAATGAGAGAGTTAGGAATGAAAAGTGAAATAAGAGAATAGAATTACCAGAATGAAATGGCAGAGAAAACGGCAGCGGTAGCAATGGTCTGAACCAGAGTGATCCTCTTCTCCATTCGGGCATTCGTACTCACTTCTATGCCCTTTCCGCTCCTTAGTTCAACCATCGCTCAACCTGGGCCTTAACATCGCCTGGCCCAACTTACCAATAACCATACCCTTTCTTATCTCTATCAATAAATTAGACAACATATTTTAGTGATTACTCTTCAATTGTAATAATTTTAAGATTTTTAACAAAAAAATTTTAAATTTTTTTATTTATTTCACTCAATAATTTTATCTTTATTTTTAAATTAAATTTTAATATTTTAAAATAATTTATCATAACATAAATTATTTATCATAAATCTAAAATATATTTTTATATGTTAAAATTTATTTTTTACTATAAAATAATTTATATAATTAAAAATATATTTAGTTATATAAAATAAAAATTATTGCAAACATTGCATAGATTAAGAAGATATTTTATATAATTTTTATTATTTTAATATAAGATAATATACATCTTATTTTATTCTTTAAATTTTAATTTTTCACTCCTTCTCCTTCTCCAATTTTTATTTTTTCTTAGATCTTTTTTTTTTCTTTTCACTTTAGTGGAATCTAACAAAGGTTGCACGTGGAAGAATTTTGGGGAATAAGAAGATGAATTGATTTATATGATAAGGTCAATCGAGATATCATCTAGTGTTATTTTATAAATCTTGATGAAGACTTGAATCCAATTTGAAGGTAACATGACAAGCTCAAAGGCCCATGATCAAAAAGAAACATTGCTAAGTTAGAGTTTAATTAGTTTTTTTTAGCTAAATAGTTGTTTAAGTCCATTTTGTTAATTATTAATGTAATTTTTGTTATTTATTTTTATTTAAATAATTCAAATGTCTTTCTTTATATTTTTTTAGGTCAGTTTTAGTCCTTTTAGGCTTCTTATATCATAATAATAATTAGTGGGATAGTGGAGAGTCAATTCTAGTGAAATTAAATGTTAGTGAAAATTTATCTCTAAGGGAAGTCTTAGTAGGAATTTATTTCTAATTAGAGTCTTAGTGAGAATTTATGTCTTGTTGTCCATCTAAGTTTATAAATAGGAACATTGTAAATATTTTAGGAGAAAATGAATTAATCAGAATTTGAAAGAAAAAAAAAATTTTGATTGAGAGGATTTTCTCTCTCTAGGTTCTTAGAAATTACTTTTGATTCTTATCCTTGAATTTCCTAATTCTAAGTAATGAATCTTCATCAAATTATCAATCTCTAAGGATTGGGGCGTTGCTCTTCCATTTCTTACCTCAATCCATATTTTTCCTTTTTTTAATTCCTTTATTTTCTTATAATAATTGTCCACATAATTCATGGTTTGAGATGCTGGAATTTTAATCCTATGAAGTTCACATCAATTCCCATCATTCTTTAAATTTTGTTGAAAAACACGTGGATCAATTGGTCGAGTCAAGGATAAAGCTATTAAAAGTCAAACTAAAAATTATTTGCTATTAGATTTTATTAACAAAAAGGGTCACACATATTGATAAAAAGGCCTATAGCTCTTTAGTTACAGTATAAAAGTTTTTATTAAATTTTGCTTTAAGTCTTCCTCATTGTTGGATTGACACTATCAATTGATATGAGGGTTATTTTAACTTAATAAGAAGTTTTGAGTTTGAGTCTTAAGTATACATTTGTGTTAAATACTTGGATGAAAAGTTTTGTCATCTATAATAGTCTCATCTTCATTATTTTTTAAACTCTTCACATTAATTTTTTCTATTTTTTTCTCACCATCAATACCTAATATATATGGATTTTTCTCTCAAATGAATATATGATAGGAGGTATGTTTTCATCGACTATATATATTATATGTTATGCGTATAATTAGGATAAAAGATAGAGGTGTAAATGAGTACGGGTAATCTGTAAATCCGAACTAATCCAAACTGACCCAATAAGTTTGGATTAAATTTTTTTGGTATTCAGATTAGACCCAACCCAACCCAATCAAAATCTGACATTATATGAATCGAGTAACGAATTTTGTGTTTTTGACCCGTGATCGATCCGACCCGATTAAATTATAATAGTAATAATAATAACAATAATAATGTTTGAATGATCATTTACTCAAGACAATACTTACTATTACTCTTACTTAGTAACGAAGTTTTGTATTTTTAGGTTTTTTTGACATATTTTGTATTTTTAGGTTGATATCATTGTAACAATATAATATATTTATATTAAATTTTATTTTGTATTAATTATTGTTGGTTTTTTGAGTTGATAATAATGTAACAAATTAATAAATTTATTTTAGAATTTATTCTGCGTATGATGCTTTATAAAATTGTATTTACAGTAATATATCAAATAATTTACATCTATTTTAAAATATTTAACTTTTTACAAAAAAATAAATTTAATTATGTTGATCTGATTAACACAATCCAATCCATTCATAATTGGGTTAGGTTGAGTTGGATTTTTAAAAAAAATTGCACAAATCTGACTCAATCTACCTGTTAAATTTTGATCAGGTTGAGTAATGGATCATCCAAATCCGATTCAATCTAACCCGCTTACATCCTTGATAAATGAGAGTTGATTGTTTCAATCATAAAAATTTGCAATCTAGTGCATTTACTCTTAAACTGCTTTCTCAATGTTTTGAAATGGTACCACGTGCATATGAACTATATAACTAAGAACATTACATTGTGCATGCTATTGACTTAACTTATGATATAAATGATGTGTTTGTGAATGTAAGTGTGTGAGTTCAAAATATTTGTCTATCTTAAAAATAATGAAATATGTATTTCACTTCTTTTGTTTGTCTTTGTTTATATTTGGACCGATTGTTATTTGTAATTGAGGCTCAACTTGAAAATGATGACATAGAGGAGGTGTATGCCTCCTAGGTTGTTTATATTTTGGGTTTGCTTTGTGGCATCGTGGCAAGAATTTTTGGATTTCTTTTATACCGTATGTTTTGGTTTTTAAGATGTTTAAGTAGCTAACGAAAATATGATCGTGTACCAAACAAGTTGAAATAGCTTTTAAGACGTTTTGGCGAACACACTTTGTACCTCTCTTGTATAGCTCTCAAGGTTGCTGCCACTATGGTCTATGGTGGAGTGAAAGCATGGTAGGATTAGGTATCTCGTGCAGTCCAACTATAAGTGGGTTGGATTGAAATTGTGTAGATCAGCTATAATAAAAATGGATGGATATTTGTTAGTGGAGGATGACTTTGTTCGAAAAAGAAAGGGTTAAATATGATAATACTAAAAGTCAAGGTTTAGTACTAATATGATAATTTATCCATGGTCACAAAGACAAAACGCTTAATAATTTAATTACAGCATCTTCACGTACACGTGAGATCTTAAATAGTAGTATTTTTTTTTTTTTTTTACATCTAGTGGAATGTGGTAGCAACTGTGGTGCACTATTAAGTTAATGTGGGCAAACACCGAATGAAAGGAAATGGGAAAAGTGTAAAAGAGGCATGGCATGGTCCACCTGCTTCTTCAACTGCATTAATGTGTCCTATCTGTGATCTTCCCATCGCTCCATTTCAACTTCAAGTCACACATTCACATTATTAAATTACAATGTGGATGACAATAATGCTGCCATGTGAATGACGTTTGCATAATCGTATTCATCGTCATATATTTCGATAATAAAACATAGAAACAATGAAAGAAAAACGATGTTTTTTGTTTAATTAAAAAATAAAATTTTAATATTTTTATTTCCTTTATTTTCTTTCCTCATCAAAACAAGACGAAGTTGTTAACTGTTTTCTTTCCTCATCACATCAAATAGCTAATATTTTAACCATTCAAGTCAAAGTCGGTATGTCTTGACACTATTTAATTTATTATATGTACTTTTTTCTTCTTTAAAAACGAATAATTCATTTTCATTCCACGGATCCCTAATCAATCTAATGCCAAGAGAAATAATATAGTATTGTAATTGATTACGACATGACTTTATTGATTAAGTCTCTAATTTTGTAATGGTTGAGTTAGAAGAAAGGAAAAAAAAAAATATATATATATATATATCCTCACGCAGCTCCAAAAACGCCAACACCAGTTACACCTGCTGTTGGAAAGTGCTGTGTTATCCAACAGGAATTGACCTTTCAACTGGATACGCGGTGTTGTACACTATTCTACGAGGAAATCGAAACTGGACCTAAAGATGGAAGAAAAATAATTCCATCTTTCTTTAATTTTAACTTGACCTTACGAAACATTTTCCGTTTTTTTTTTTTAAATTATAAAATATCACCTATTTTAACTTCACTTTTTTGTTTTTGAAGATTAATGCGAAACAGTAAATTAAAGTATCTTCTTTCCAAAAAAAAAAATTTCTACAAACTTTGTATAGGAATAATTTAACAAATAAAATTAAAATATCTTCTTTCCTGTTTTAGCATGGGTTCAATTCCAATTAGTTTTGTTCTTCCTTATGGGAATGATCGTCAACACAGACAACACCCTTCTATTTTCCTAAGGAAAATGCTAAACTTTACTATAATACAAAAGAAACGAACGCTTGTGATTGGTTAATGTTCCATATTTTATCTTCCTAGATTTTTGTCAAAAAGAAATAATTACTATTTATTTAAAATATGACATCAGTAATTTGTACTATTCTCCGTACCCAATATTACATTGGCCTTGTGTTGTGTGCCCATAAAAGTAAAGAATAAATTTATTAATTGAAAATTTTCTACAATCGGATCTATATTCTATTAAGGGCCAACGGTTGACAAAGTAAAGAAGGACTTGGTTTTGTTTGGACTGTGCCAAACACATCAGCAAGAAAAATCCTCAAAACTGACTTCCGAGATTGACCATAACACTCGCTGGGGTAATTGGTAAATACCTAGATAATCTAATCAACTGTTAAATTTCCCAGTGCTTGATCCTCCAAAAAGAAAAATAATAAAACTCACTATTTACTTTTTCGGACCAATTTAGACCTGGATGAGGAGGATTCAGCAATGTCACGAGAAGTGTTTGGCGTTTCAGAATATTGCAATGCTTGCTTCAAGCTTTCCACTATCTGACTCATGGAGGGTCTATCTTCTGGATTCTTCTTCAAGCAGCTATCAGCCAACTTGGCTATTTTGCGAGCTGCTGGAAGAGAATACTGATTCCTCAGACGTGGATCCATTATGATGACGAATCTGCTGCTGTCTGCAGGGTAGTGTTTGACCCAATCTAAAAGCTTTTGTTCTGCTGTCGGGCGGTTTCTTTCCAATGTCCTTCTTCCTGTGAGGATCTCATACAGTACGACACCAAAACTCCACATGTCACTCTGAACTTTCAGATGACCCGTTTCAATATACTCTGGGGCAGCATATCCATGTGTCCCAACTACCTAAAGAATACAAAAATGTTAACAAGAACTAATCATTGGTGTAAGGAAATTCATGAGTTCATAACTTTTATTATTGTTGTAATGAATAGGTAGGATCATATTGGTCATGACTCATGGTTATATCATGAAATTGGCTCTGGGGGTGGTGCAAAATGATTGTATATATAAGTAAAGCCCCTAGACTTAGGTGACTTAAAATATGAAAAGTGACATTAACTAATTAGTAAAGTAGCACTTGAGAATATGTATCTGCTATGAACTTACCGCAGTGGATACATGAGTCTGATCACCCTGTGGTCCTTCTCTAGCAAGACCAAAATCGGAGAGCTTTGGATGGAAATCCTGATCCAATAGAACGTTTGAAGATTTGAAATCTCGATAGATGACCTTCCCAACAAAAAAATGAAAAGGTTATCACCCAAACTAGGTAATCAAATACACAACTAAAGTTTACATATATAGGAAAATGCTAAACAAAAAATGGCATGCACTAAAGCCAAATGACATGGCAACAATTACATTTCAACTTTTGGAAAGTATGAGCCTGTGAAGTACCTGAATCTCCAGTCCCTCGTGCAGATAAGCTAATCCTTGAGCAGCACCAAGCATGATCTCCAATCTAGTTTTCCAAGGCAGCGTTGGTAATGATTTATTGAAAAGGTGATCCTCCAAGCTCCTGTTTGGCATGAACTCATACACCAACAACCGTTGGATTCCTCTTTCTCCATCCACGGAGCAGTATCCCAAAAGCTTAACCAAATTTGGGTGATCGACAATGCCAAGAAATTGAACTTCAGCAAGCCATTCTTTATGACCCTTTACAACAAAAGAGAACAACCATTAGAATACAGGTATATCAGTAAAGCATTTTGTGGCAAACAAGTATAACCAAGGCCAAGAATTTGATGTCCTCGCTCCCGAATCATTCAAGCCATATGCAAAACGAACTATTAACTCTGGATGACACCAAGACACCAATGTAGATGCAAATAACTAACAAAGTTCTTACGGTCATTGACCAAATAATCACAATAACGGAGAACAAACAAATAACTAAAATTATAAATATGCATTTTATTTCATTAACCACAAGTATCCGGAGACAATTGTATTCATATGACTATTGTGGGGGAGCAAAGCTCCTTTTTTGTGAGTATTTAACTCAGAATTCGAATTCAAGATGACCACTGAAACAACCCAGTAGCAGTTGATGAGCGTAATCTTTGATAAAGTATTTATATTTGTAAATTGCAAGTATAGCTTGAACAATTATTAGAAAAGAGGGAAAGAAATGAAGAATTGGGCAAAAGAGAAGAGAAGGCATGCACCTGGAAGCCACGGGTGTTGAGTCTTTTAATAGCAACTGGAATTGGGTGACCTTGAGCATTAGGAAGCATGATGGATCCTTTGTAGACACTTCCGAAACCCCCTTCTCCGAGCTTGAACATTCTATTGAAGCCGTTGGTGGCATCTCTGAGGTCTTGGAAGGTGAAAACAGTGAAGCTGTGCTCTTTCTCTCTGTACAAGTCTTTGACGCTCTTGGGGGAGGAGACGGAGCCGGTGGAGTTGGCGGCGCGGTTGACGGCGGGGCTCTTCTTCTTGTGCAATTCGGGGGCGGACTTGGACTTGTCTTTGAAGAAGAAGCACTTCATTTTGCAACCATGAAAAGGAAGTAGGTGGAGGTGATCGAAGGGGGGATTAAGAGGGGTGAAGTGGAAGAGGAAGAAAGAGAGAGATAAATGGGAAGATAAAGGTGTATGAAAGGAGAGAGAGAAAGATGAGGACAGCAGTGAAGCGGGTTTACGACGTTGTAGAACAAAGACCAACAACACCTTTCAAACCTCTGAGCTGGAATATGTTGCTTTCACTGTTCCTCCCAATCACCACACTTCCTATTTTTTTTTTTTAAGTTTTTTAAATATCCGTTGTTGATAGCAGCATCGTTTCATTTTACTATTTTCTTTAATTATAAATTATATTCTAACCAAATAATAATAATTTTTTAATTAAAACTTATATTAATGTCATTTAACCCCAAGCATGTGGTTCAGCGGTAGGAGTTGATCCACGCTTAAGCAAGGTTAGGGGTTCGAATCCTGCCTTATGTATGTATGCAGCCGCGTTAAATCTTGAAGCCAGCTATCCCTCCTTTTGAGGTGCCTCCAACGTAGCGAGGAGATTAGTCACTGCTGTCGGCGGTGGATACTCCAGGAACGCACCTAAAAAAATATTAATGTTACTTTTGCCTTCACATTGCTGTTTCCTCTTCTTTCCATTTTCATATACATGGAACCTGGATTACGAGTTCGGTCAGACTGAATTTTGGATTATACTTTGGGAAAACCCAAAATATTTTTTAAAATATTTCATAAAACAGTATTAGTGATAAGCTATAAATAGATACTTTGTTATTTTAAAATATTAATGCTTACTATTTTTTTTTTATAAAATATCAATGTTTACTGTTTTTATTTAATAAATAGTAGAATTTAGAATAATTCAATTTCAAAAAAGTAACAAAACTTGCTGATTTATTATTTTTTTTTCTCACTTTCCTCGAATAGTCGAATTCCGTAATAGTGTGTTTGGATGAGGAATTTTACAAATTTAAGGAATTTTAAATTCTTGGTATTTGAATTACTTTGATTTCAATTTCTATCATTCTTAAAATATTTTGTTTGGATGAGTCAATTCAAATTTCTTAAATTTTAAATTGTTAGGTTGAATATGATAATTTGATTCCATCATAGTAAAATTGATTTTAAAAATATATTTATATGTTGAGATTTTTAAATTAAATTTTATAAAAATAAATATTAATCTATTTTTAAATATTTAATAATTTTAAAAATTAATATTAGATAATATTTAATAATTTTAAAAATTAATATAAGATAATATTTAATAATTTTAAAAATATTTTTGAATATCCAATAATTAAAAGAATGAAGAGATAAGATAAAATATATAGGTGAAATAAGAAAAACAAATATGAGAAATTTCAAATTCTCCCATTTTTGGAAGAATTTGAAATTCTATTATTTTAAGAAATTTCACAAATGCTTAGATTTCAAATTCTTTGTAAATTCCTCATCCAAACAAAACATTTCACCTCAAGAAATTTGAAATTCTTCAAATAAATGAATTACCCTATATAAATTCCTCGCCCAAACACACAATAAACGAAATATGTTACCTTTTTTATTAAGGAATCATAAAGTCTTTGAAAGGCTTTGTTGACATCCATGTATAACTTTTAACTTTTTACGATACGCGCAGATTAAAAGGTTAACGAATCATATTAAAAAAGGTGACTCATTAATCATTATTATATTAATAAAAATATTAATTGCATAAAAAATATTTTTAACTGCTTAATTTACACCTTTAGTACACAACAAGATAGAACAATTCATAACTTTTCAAAGCAATTTTTCCTCTCTAATTACTCCAAGAAAACATGTCTGAATTTATATATATACTGAAATAGTTTAGCTGCTTAATTAAATGAACACGAACCCGGTGTTGTCCATTTAAAAGAATTTGATATCAAATTTTTTATTTAAGTAGTCAACTATTATTAAAAGTTTCAAACAAGCAAAGTAGCTTTATTTATATCTTTAAAATATGTCTTTAGAATACTATAGTAAAAGAGATTTCTCCCTAAAAGAAGCATTTCAAATTAGTAAAAGTGGTATAGTATATGAAAATGCTTTTAAGTGGTCTATGGTTGTCAAAACGGCCTATAAAACAAAGCATACATCATACAATGGCCTCCGTCTATTAATCAAAATTTAGAAAGTTACTCTCTTTTGTGGGGGATTTACTGTCCATTTACAAACCTTCAGAATCAAAATTTCTAATTACAATACATTTTAATGTAATGTAAAATCTGTATTTGAGCACACATTTTAGTATTATTTAAATTTTCAAAATTAATTTGAAACAAAAGTAATACTAACTAAGCAAAATTAATTTATTTTTTCAATTTTTTTTATTATACTTATGTTTAAGCAAAAGTAATACTACTAGCCGGTCCGAATCTTAAGTTGGATCGGTTATGCAGTCGACCCGTTTCAAACTGGATTGAACCGGTCAATTTTCCGGTTCAACCGGTGAACTGGTGGTTCAAACCGGTTCAACCATTTTTTTTTCTTTTTTTTTTTAATTTTTTTAAGGGACTATAAACCACAAAAATAATAATGAAAATTGAATCTCTTAATGGAAGAACAAATATTCTTATTAAATATAACAATGACTACTTGTTCTAATATATTTGTTTATATAATATACAACTTAAATAACTTTTATAGTATATTATTAATTTTATATTATATATTTAATAATATAATATATATGTAGATATTACATATATTATTTTTTGATATCAATTGCAAGCATATTATATATGTACATATTATTTATATTTTTAATTTGTATTAATATACAGTTTAACATGTAATTTTTTATATATTTTTTACAAAATAAAAATAAAAATAATTTTAAATAAGATAGAAAAATTGAAATTTAAAATAAGATATGAATTTATTAAAATTTATAAGTATAAAATATATTTAATATGAATATTTTTTAATAAAAATAAATAAAAACCGAGTCATGCGGTTCAACTAGTGACCCACCAGTTCAACCTTTGACCCACTGACCCAGTACCTTAATCGGTTTGATGACCGGTCCGGTTTTTAAAACTATGAGCATATGTTTAAAATTATATTTTTATCTTATATTTTCTTTTTCTTTTTTTTCTACTTTCTTTTCATTCACTTTCTTTCTATCAAAGAAGAAATTTATGGCCTATTAGATTTTTAAGTCAATATGTAATTAAAATACATAATAATATAAGGAGAGTTTATCTATTGAGTTTGTTTGGATATAAACTAGAAATACTTTTAAAATTTTCTATACTTAAAAATGAAAATAAAGAATTAATTTCAGTAAAACACTTCTAGGCTTTTACTCAAACAAGTGCTTAATAATGTGAGAACTAGCATAACAATATAAGGGAAAATTTATGTACCTAATAGTGTCCTGATTTGCTGTTAAAACAAGCAATGTTGCGATAATCAAATTCAATGATGTTTGGTTATAACATTAATTCAAATAATATAACACTATGAGATAATAACGTGAGTACGTGTATAAAACATTAAGTTGTAGAAAATGACAAACGAAAATAAATCTTGAACACTTAACAATTTTTTTTAAAAAGATATTAATATCTTCGGTTAAACATTTTTTTTTCCTCCTAAATATGTAAGTGTTCATTTTTGGTCCTCCAATTTTAAAATATCAACATTTGATCGCATTTTTTTAAATGTGTCAAAATTTATGTTATTCACTAACTCCGTTAAATCAAAATACGTACATTGAGTTCGCAATCTAATTGAAATTTGATAAAAAAATTATTATAATTTGAGAAAGTTATCCTTCTAAATATTGAGAAGACTTATGTTGCATGGTAGTGGCCCAGAAGTGCAAGCAATGCCGTGGTCGCGTAACGGTGCCACAACATGTGCAATTATCACCATGCATGGACGACCGTCTTGCAAAATTAAGATGAAGAAGAACGTGGGAGAAGGGTGTCCAACCAAACCACATAAATATTTAGATTTAGATTTTATGTTGAATTCACACTAAACCTATGAAAGTGCATTAATTACACACTAGTGAAAGCCAATTGCCAATGCTAATTCATAATTTATGCATTAGAATGTTTTGAATCAGCTTCCAATAGTATCAGCTTTAGTTGGCGTTAAGCAAAAAATAAAATTATATATATGTGTGTATAAGCTAGCCAATGTTAAATTATAATTAAATTAAAATTATTGAATCATTTGCTAATAATAATATCATATAACATCGAGTAGCTAGGTCGACGCTGCATTAAATATTGTTATTAGTGTTAGCTTATTAGGCCATCACAAACACAATGCTAATTTTAATTTAGTATCAATTTTGGCTGATACTAAATACTTTAATTTTAATTTTTTTTACTTTGTTAGATATTTTACATATAATGATAATACAGATCATAATAGTGTATATAAGTTAAGAATAATTATTATTTTATAAATCAATTATGTAAAGTTGATTAAGCTTTTGTTTAGAGTAGACTTAACTAATGCTTCCATGTGAACATTATTTCATAAGTTTATTATAATGAAAAATAAAACTCCATCTCAATAAACACGCATGCTAGCTCATGAATATTAATGCAGCATGGTCACGAACAAAAGACAGTATCTTAAGAACAAACAAATTATTTTTTAAAAAAACTTACAAATAGAAATGAAGGCAGTAATAGATAATTATCATATAATTAACGTGATACATGTGTACCATTGGTTAAAATTGAATCTCAATGGTAACCTCGCAATTTTTTTAATTTTAATCCCGACGATTATCGTTTGCCTGTGGCTTTCACTGATCACTGAGTCTTATTCAAATAATTATTACTATTATTAATTACATAAAAGTAGAAAAATATTGAGCAGAAGAGACCTAAGACGATAGTGAAGTTACACGATCGATGTTATTAGGTTAAAGTCTTGCAGAGTCAAATTTACGTGTTCCAGCTGCTTGTGGATTTCCGTACAGCCGTACATGAAACTTTGAGTTAATAAATGGCATGATTATTGTGTATATTTGAGTTTTTCTTCAACACAAGTTTAATGAAATTTCAATGATTATAACTTAGTTTAAATAATTTTTTCAATGAAAATGTTATAAAAGAAGAAATAAGAAATTAAGATGAATCAAACTTATCTTATAAAGTAAAATTAATCTATGCA